CAGGTTAAATAAATCACTTGTTAAACACACTATCGTGCTGTATTTTCACATTCCAGTAATGATCTTGTGGGACCTCCGGGTGGGAAACTCGACCCTGCCAAACCTCCTCTGGCAGAGACTGCTCTCCTGGGAAATTCACAAATTCACATTCACCCTTTGATTCCTCCAAACAATTTCAGCTCATTCTTTCCTTGGCCACCGCAGTGCTGTTGTTATTGAGAACATTGTTAACTCATAGCTCAGCACTCAAATTGATTCGACAAACTGTGAGCTTGTGAGTCACAGATGAAATTTCCCACCTTGGCAGCGTTCCGGGCCCCTTTGTCCCTCAACTGTTTTAGCTTTAACGGACGCTGTTATGAACTTGTACTGATGTCTTCACCTGCTCCAGCTGACTCAAAATAATAGTAATAATGTTGTCATGCATGCAGACTCATAAACTAAAAGTTAATAAACCATCAGATTACTTGGTTCAAGGATGCACGCTGTACTCTCTCAGCCAGTGTGGGTCAAACATCAGCACATCAGCAGCTGATTGGAGGCAAGACTAAATCCTGAAACCTGGAAAATCCCAAGAATTTAAATCTACTCTGCCTAATCTCGTTTCAGCCTTCACATGCTGTCAGTATTTTATTACTGTAGCTGGTGGTGCTAAATCAAGTTATTACAGATGTATACAGTCTTCACTTATATATAACAGGTGTATTGTTTGACAAGAACAGTAACAGTCACCATGCAGTCAGTGAGTTATGCTGAGCTACGACCTGAGTGTTATGGTTGAGTCCCCCTCACCAGGGGGGTGAGGGAGAACTGAGGTAGGACTCAATGTGCAGACCCAGGTGCTAGTGAAAAAAAAAGGTGGTTTAATGGGCGTAGGCAAAGAAACAGAGGCATTATACAGTACTGAACCAGGGTAGGGCAGAGATGACTGAGGAGACCAGGATAAGCAGATGAGTAGACAGAACAATGGCAGGAACCAGGAGAGTTAGAGGATCTAGGATGGACAGGTGAGTAGAGAGAACAACCAGGAGGATTAGCAAATGCCGTCAGGGAAGCAGAGTAGCGAACAAAAAAGAAATCAACAGCATAGGAACTGTCAGCATTGAAATCAAATTACGCATGCCTAAACACATGGAAACAACGTACAAAAGAAAACCACAGTGCAGGAACTGTCAGCGTGGAAATCAAGAGACGTATAATACAAAAAAAAAACACGTAACCAACGTACAAAAAGAGATCCACAGCACAGGAACTGTCAGCGTGGAAATCAAAAAGACGTATGACACATACCATGAATACAGGCATGTCCAGCGATGACGGAGCGTCTGCTAGAGGTTTAAATGAGGAAGGGCAGTAATCACCAGAATGCGCCTCAGCTGTGTGCACTGACAAACGAGTCACTAATTACCGGATGTAACACAGCTGAGGCGCAGATCCCGCAGGTCAAGAGAGAGAAAGGGGGAAGAGAGCCAGGCTGCAACAAGCGGACCTGACACTGAGCCCCTTTTATTTTGAAACATTTGCAGTTCCTGCTTGGATTATCTGCAGAAAACTTAAAGTGCCCATTGTATGTTCATTTTGATTGTTTCCAGCCATTTAATGTTTAATCTTGGGTACCTCTAGATTAGCGTTGCACCCTTCATAACTCCAAATAGTCTGTAATTTTTTCAGAGTGATAAAACCAGTGAGCCTCTTCCTAAAAACCAGAGGACAGTTCACGAATGGCCACAACTCCTGCTGCCGGTGTTGTGTTGCAAGTGGACAGCACAACGAACCGTGACCGCATTAATTAATATGAATTTCTCCTCCATAGATAGGTAAACAATGGTACATGTACCAATGAAAAGACATTTGTAACACTCTAAACAAAGCACCAACAATAACATCATGGATCGTTAATCTGTTCCTTAACCAACAACACATCACATGCAGCAGACATACTGGCTTAAAGCAGTCAAGACAAACAGGTACTGTGCTCTGTGGGGAATCCAGCCTCGATGAGTGATCACTCACTGCTGTGGGGGGCTTCAATGGCTGGCTCCTTGTAGGTTAGACAAGGTCAGGTTAAACAGGGAGTCCCTGTACAGGACGATTCCTGGACATGCAGTAACCTCAGGCCCTGTGCTTTTCTCCACATCCTCTGGTCACAGTGCAGAAGCAGGAGGGAAAATATATCCACAAACTGCAGTGGAAAAATTCCACTTTTACAATGGCACAGGTAGATGTCTTTTTAAAAAAATAAGCTTTATTGAAAACATGCATAACAAACAAGACAATGTAACATTCTGCCAATATGGTGGGGGCATAGGTGGATGTCAAGCAAAGCTCATGAACTGGCAATGGTCTGGATTTATGCCCATTCAAGGAAATCCTTAAACTATCATGTAATACTTTGTTTTGTCAAAAAACAAGTCTTGCAAGCGGGAGTTTGTGAGATGTATATAAACTGAGCTGCTTCTGCATAGAAATACTAGAACATACGCATACCTCCTTTTTTGATCTTTAGGTCATTTAAGATGAGAATTCGCCGTTGTAACATTGTAGATTAGTCAATGAAACAAGAAAAAGCACCATGGGCTTTTTAATGAGTCTCAGGCAAATTCTGGAATGAAAAGAAGCAGTTTTTTTCTTATTTCTGTAGGTTTCTAAAGATCAGCAATGTAAAACTACATTTCCCTTAGAAGATAAAGCAGAAAGTGTAAAGCTGGCTTGGATGCAATTAGTTATACTGTGAGCTAAACTTGAACCCTGTATTTGTAATTTATATCTATTTAAATTTGGGAAAATCCATTCATTAAAACCAAATTAGGTAATAGTCATTCCTGTTTCCAGTGCACCCATAAAAATCCAGACAATCGTCACTGTAATAATTGTCAGGCAAGCTCTCGGTTAAAATCTCAAAAATGTAGCCTGAGGTTTTTATAAATAGAGGAAACTGAAAACAAATCATCACTATTTTACGATGTTTAGCCATTTAAAATCAACATCAGATTTTTTTGTTTTTTGCTTCTAAAAGGACTGTGCTGATGGATTTGTCAAGACAAAGTGATTTATTCTGCAGCTTGCTAAAATGCTAACACCTGTTACTGTTTTAATATTTAGAGCTTCCAAAATGCTTAATTTGCTTTAATGTGCTTAATTTTCTGCCAATGAGATGCTTATAAGGCTGATCTGTTGTGCAGGTGTGTGTTTTGTTTAAAGGCAGCTCATTAACAAGTGTCACAGTTTTCATTTGTGGCGTTTACTGGCCGATTAATACACAGACATTATATTTACTCTTTCAGAATGTGTGTTTAAATATTTAATCAGGAAACATGAACAGACTCCTGTGATGAAAAACATTAAATAATACTATATGTGATCAAAGTCACTTTTCTCTCTTTTTTCCTGATCTTGTTTTCATTTCATCTTCCTCATCCTCCTCTTTTCTCCTCTCATTGCCTCCTCTTCATTTCTGCCCTGTTAATTGTTACTGATCATAAACTGACCTGAGTACTGAAATGTTTTGTTTTCTAACAGCTGCTCTTTGCTGTAAAGCCGAGTTTGGCCCCATCCGCCAGCCAGTAGTGGTATTACAACTGTTAGGCTTCAATGAGCAGAAAATTAAACTAATTACTGAATTAAAGTGATCATTTATTTCCTCGTTTCCTTTATCATATGTAGCTACTTCATTTACATGGGGGGTGAGAAAAAACAGAATGAATATACGGAAAAGCATCTTCAAATACTTTAGTTTATATCTAAAAATTCTTCTCATCTCAACATATTTTAGACCAAAAAATTCTATTTGAAACTTCGGTTTTAAAGCGACTTTGAAGATAAGTCCCTGAAGTCTTTGAAAACATTTGAACATCTACAATGAATTGATATGTGCTTTTATCAAATGCTCTTTTGTTTTTGTTTCTTCATTAGTTGCTTTGCTTTAGTTTGAGTTGTGATTCAGTTCATCTCATCATAATGTCCCTGCAATTACCAGAAGTCCACAGTGACTCAGACCTAAAACAAAACCCAGACACCTTGGGAAGACCCTTGTATCCACCCCGGCTGAGAGAAGGCCCAGAGGGACAATCAGGCATCAGGGTGGAGGGCAGAGCAGTGGAGGAACACACACGCTCACACATTGTGATTAAAGTCTGGCTGCGGCAGCAGGACTTATTTGATGGAGCTGATCCCTGTCAGCAAATGGTTTACAAGAAGGGATTACTCAGTGGGACTAGAGCAAGACAAACAAACATCTTTCCACCCTGTCACTGCTTCTTTTTTCACCTTCTGCAGCTTGTTGACATCTTGTTGCTGATTTGTTCCACATCCCATTGCCATCAAGTTTTGCAGCTCCACTGACTCCAGTTGCTTTCAGCGTGTTATCTTAAAAATGCCATCAGCATTTACTTTTTCTCACCATTAGTCCGCTGCTGTGATTGTTGTGCTGCCATCAGCATCTGCAGCAGGAGAGTAGAGAGTTTCTCAGGATGCGAGGCTCAGATTTCGAAAAGGGGACGTCTGTCAGTACGAAGCTCATTTGAACTGTTTTCTAACATTAAAATGATTCTTATCTCCCTGGTGGACTTTGTAAACAGATTGTTTTTCATGTTCACAGTTGTGAATGTGAGACTTACTGCTATTTTATTTTTATCTTGATGGAAATAATTATATTTGGAAACTAGACTTTAATGTAATGTTTCAGTAACTCCAAACAGTTACCATTGTTGATAACTGTACAGTTTACAGGGTGGGGCTGGCACTGATGTGTATTGTAAAGTGTTCATATACTGACAGACCTACTACTGTGGGCTATAAAATTAACTTTGCAATTATTCTACTGATTCTGTGCATTTCTGAGTTGTAGACTATAAACCATCCAGTAATTTTGCACCAGTTTAAGTACCTCTAAAAGGCCAGTATAACCAGTAAAATGTATTAACCTAGTCTGCAGTTTTCACTTTCAGCCACTAGATGGAGCCATTAAACTGAGGCACAAAATGCAACCAGGACTAAATGTCAAAAGCGTAAACTTTATTCTTAGAGTAAAAGTATGTGTATATAAGTAAAACTACTCGACGCATTTTAATCGTTAAATGTATAATCAAAGATGTATTCTTCTTCCACACTTGTTAAACTATAGAAAACAGTTATTGCAGCTACTGTTTCTTTCTCTGTTTCGTCTAAAAGCACTTTCACTCTATACTTTCTAAGTGAATTTCAGGCTCTGCTCATAAACTCTCTCATCCAGATGTTTACAGACATGATTTCTTCTCAACAGTGTGGTATTAAAATATGTCAACACATTTAAGATGCCACTCTGGTAGGTTGGTTAGCTTGGCCTTGCAGCCTCTTTGGCAGAAAGTTTAATATGCTGTAAAAATCTAATATATCTGGTGTAGGAGTCACAGTGAAAGTTTAAACACCAGCAGCGTCTGCGTCAGCAGGTGCAGCAAAGAAACAGAGATTTATGACTGCATATTTAAAGGGACATGCCAGAAAACTTCAATTTAAGGCTGTTACTCCTAAGTGTTTGTAGTTATTTTAAACTACACTGAGCCTGATTCTGGGAGGCCACTGTGAGACAAGTAAAGTGTTGTGAAATCTTAGCTTGTCCACATTAAGTTGAGACGTCTTATTCACCTCTGTGCCGGTGTGCAAAGTTGCTCTGTGCAGCTTTAAGAAGCGGGTCATGTTTGGAAAATAACAACCCTGGAAGATTTTCAGTTTCACTGTAACAAATCTACAAAGCTCCCGACTGCACATCTACTGTACATTTACATTCGTTGCTGTTGTTTTCCTTCATTCCTCATCTTTGCTCTTCAGTGGTTCCTTGATTTGCAGGGCCGCATTAGAACCGACAGACTCATCGTCATGGTTGTCGACATCATTGTCGTCGTCGTCCATCTCATTGGTGACGTATGTACCTTTCTGTCTGGTCATGCACCACATCAGCACAGCTATGATGCAGAGGAGGACCAGCAGCACTGCACTGACAATCCCTGAGGGGGAAGCCATTGAGAGTGAGAGCAAGAAAACCCATTTAAAGACTGAATTTAGCAGTTTTCTGCAAAACAGAAAATGGGGTTTTATTTCAATTCCATCAACTAATGTGTCAGTCAGGAGTTTCTTTTCCAACATATTGATGATAATAAAACACAGATAAGGTCTGTTATTAATCCAGTGGTATCCTCAAGACTTTTACATTTTTAATCCCTAAACATTACAAAATATATCATAAAATAGAAGGAATTTCTGTTTAATTCTGATCAGGTCAGATTCATATTTATGAATGCAAAATCTGAAAAACGGAAAATTGGTCCTCATATACAAATTGGGATTGGTATAATAACATTTAAGAAAGGACAAACTGCGCAGCAGAGGTCAGAGCTAGTTGAAAAAGACTAATTAAACTTGATTTAACTGTATGTTTGTTATCTTTTAGCATTATTACAGCACATGGTGTAGTCTGGAAGAAGTCAAGTTAAATTCTTACCTCCAACTAAGGCTGCTAAATCTGCATGGTCCATGTGGCTGCCTGTGAAGACGCACAAGAAGCAAAGGCATCATCCATGTGGAAAAAGTGAAGAACAGTGTCAGTAAACGCATCACAGAGCTTCATGAAAGTGGTGGATGCTATTGGAGGCACAAAAGGTTTAATGTTTAATGTCTGTACCTGTCCAGTCAGGTTGTGTGTCTGAGGAAAACAAAAACAAATACCACAAGCACCAGCAGGATGGCTGTCTAAATAGGACAAGTCAAATTTTCCTGCAGGAAACTATCAAAAATGTTACAAATGCGTAAGTAACAATGTGTACGTACTTTTTAAAGAACTGCACACGAAAAATCGATTTTAAGCATTTGTAAAATGTGTTTTATGTGCAGTTTGTGCAGCATGCATTTGTGAACAGCATGACACACACACAGAAATCGCTTGTTACAGACAAAACGTTAAACACGCATTTGTAACATTTTTGATAGTATTTTATCTCCATAGAAATCTTTTGAAAAGTTGGGTTTGACATTTGTGTTAGTCTATAGATTTGTGTAGAATGTAACCTCCACATACAGCTCATGTCATGTGAACACATGGCAGCCTATTTATTTATTTATTTATTCTTAACACAGAATCCAACCATGCATGGTGTTCAAACAGCCTCAGTCTCTTGTGGAGCTGCAATATGTGCAGAGGCTGGTTTCACTCTGCAAAAATACATAATGTACAGTGGGTACGGAAAGTATTCAGACCCCTTTAAATTTTTCACTCTGTTATATTGCAGCCATATGCTAAAATCATTTAAGTTCATTTTTTTCCTCATTAATGTACACACAGCACCCCATATTGACAGAAAAACACAGAAGTTTTGACATTTTTGCAGATTTATTAAAAAAGAAAAACTGAAATATCACATGGTCATAAGTATTCAGACCCTTTGCTGTGACACTCATATATTTAACTTAGGTGCTGTCCATTTCTTCTGATCATCCCAGAGATGGTTCTACACCTTCATTTGAGTCCAGCTGTGTTTGATTATACTGATTGGACGTGATTAGGAAAAGCCACACACCTGTCTATATAAGACCCTACAGCTCACAGTGCATGTCAGAGCAAATGAGAATCATGAGGTCAAAGGAACTGCCTGAACAGCTCAGAGACAGAATTGTGGCAAGGCACAGATCTGGCCAAGGTTACAAAAAAATTTCTGCTGCACTTAAGGTTCCCAAGAGCACAGTGGCCTCCATAATCCATAAATGGAAGACGTTTGGGACGACCAGAACCCTTCCTAGAGCTGGCCGTACGGCCAAACTGAGCTACCAGGGGAGAAGAGCCTTGGTGAGAGAGGTACAGAAGAACCCAAAGATGACTGTGGCTGAGCTCCAGAGATGCAGTCGGGAGATGGGAGAAAGTTGTAGAAAGTCAAAGAAAGTCAACCATCACTGCAGCCCTCC